TTGGCGACTTTTCCAGCGTTAAACAAAGCCTCCCAGTTCCCGTGGCAATTTCTTATGGCCTGGGCTTCCTCAGTTGGAGGTAACGAGCGGGTATCTATCCCTTTTGTTGCTCGCTGGGAGCGCTGTGCTCTGACCTGGCCCTCCACATGCTCTCTGATAGCTGCAGCCAGCAGGGCTATCACAGGCAGAGGAATAAATTCAGGGGTCAGGTATGGCTTAAACACAGCAAACGTATACAGCTGATCAGTCCCTTGGTCATTACTTGTGTTGGCCTTGTCCTGGGTATCTTTAGTACCAGTTCCGCTCTGATTGCTCTCTACTCCGTCTGTGTGCTCCTATGTTATTCTGTTGAGATCTTTATCTTCTTTATACACTGGAGTGTCTTTTAGGACTTTTGACTGGACTTCGTGTCTATTCAAGAGTAATGTTAGCTGGTCCTGGTTGATGTGAAAGGGGTCATCCTTGAGATCGCTGATATCTCCTGAGAATATCTGACTCTCGTCCGCTATTACATTGCGCATTGCGTGAACCTTGTTGGTCTGTAGGTTCCAGACTTGATAGATGTTTGTGGAGCTGTATCCTACGAGATAGCCGACCTCAGGCTTTAGGGTTTAGCTTCTACAGGCGGTTCTTTTTTAGCTGGGCTTCTGACGTTATATCAAACATATTGTAGCCGTATGCTCGAAGATGTGCGTTTAAAGGTCTGCAATCAGGGGCCATGAGGCCATCTCGAAACGATAGGTATTGAATGAACATCTCGTAGGTGGTCATCCAGTGGTGTTACCAGTTAGGCGTTCAGTTGTGAAGATACACTGCGGCTTTATAGATGTAACGCTGAAGAAATGTAGGTAGTTTGACTCCATGTCATGGGGCAAGTAGAAGGTTTGGACGAAGATGCCCAGCAATGACCTCTGTTGAACAAAAATACTTTGGTGAGGAGGGGAAGAAAGATCTGCAGCACCAGCTCACTCTGGTGGTGGGATAGATCCCAAATCCCGACCCACAATTATCTAGCTATCTGTGCGGCGGCAACGTGTCTGCTCTACGTTTATACCGCCGTGTGTGGTGAGCCAGTCTTCCTGGAGGTCTAAAACAATCTCTGAATAACTGATGGTGCCTTCTAGCATACCCGTCTTCTTGGTAACTCTGGCTTGTGAGGACCAGTTAGCGTTGACTGAAGAGGCAGCCCTAATGAAGTCATTAAATCAGGTAGTTAGAGATATGGCTTTAAGGACCTTGGCTCTGATCGCTTTAGTCATCACCTTTTCCCAGTCATTAATCCATGATATGAAGTCCTTTTATTTCTTTTTTTGCAGCTTGTTATCAATTATAGAGATAATAGCTCGATACTCTCCTTAAGCCTTGTGCATAACATATTCGCTATATATGATGCCCTTATTGGAGAGGGCCTTGTACCAATCGCGGGGGTTCACCTCATGAGGAAGCTTTGTCTGTTGGGTGGTCTGATCCACGGTCTCGAGCACCCACTTGGTGAGCTTTTCCGCTGAGCTCTTGAAGCGCTGATAGACCTTGTTTTTGTATTCAAACTGTGTGATATCTGACTTGAAGAGGTTGGCTCCGTCACTAGTGAGTTGAGAGGTGTTGTATTGTCGGATAGGTCGTTCTTGAGTGGCGCTCTGGGTAACCCTCTTTGTATAGTCCTCGGATTCGATATCAGGGGGACTAGGAGCTTCAGGCCAGGGTTCAGTCAATTTTTGGTCAATGTATATCCAGATATCTTGAACTTCAGTTCTTTTTTTGAACTGGAGACTCAATGCGATGAAGTCCTTATGAGAGTGGTAGTACGCTGTGGCGTTTTGTACAGGGACCGTGATATTCATGATTGGAAAAGGGGTTGTTAGATTACTCCGTATTCGTAATGTATGTATGCCGATTGCTTAGAAACAAGTGAGACTCTTAACTGTTGAATACAAGGGTCAATTGATGAGTGTATTATAATGTTGTGATGGGCACTGTCTATCTGTGTACGAGTTTCAGTACTAGTTCTGCCCTAGTGGCTGGTCGCGGTTTAGTGCGCTGTCATCCACGTGACATGGTCAGTGCATGGCCCAAATGGTGCGCTGGTATCTGAGAAGAGACGATCCTCTGACCCATCTTTTTCTGAGTCAACGTACGATCAGGGAGCTAGTCATGGCAGCCTCCTTGACTAGCCACCTGACTAGCCAGCACTCCACAAGGCATACACCCCTCGGGATCCCTTGAATCTGATATTAACGATAATAATATCATGAATTTTTTTTATAATAAATTTCGGTTCATAATTAATCTTTTATAGAGTTTCTTAAACGTTTTGTTGTAATAAAACCGATTTTATATTTATTGATAGCTTTATTATTATTATCATATGAAATTTAAACTCTATTAAGAGAATATTATCAACATTTGATAACGTAGCTGACAAGCGAGTTGACATTACAAGCGAGTTGGCACTCGTCATGAACTTTCCAACCAATACGATTCAAACCATCATATCTCCACCAACAACAATGGCACCGCGTTATAACAAATCAGACTTGTAGCTAGCTGTTCAAGCTAAACGACGTGACCCTCATATTCCTATATTTCAGCTTGCGAAACTCTTTAACGTCCCTCGTTCCACTTTGAACAATAGAGTCAAAGGAATGCCATCACGACGCGACAGCATGCCCAATACTTTGAAACTTATGATTTCCGAAGAGAATGCCATTTGTTCCTTCATTCTCGACCTGGATGCGCGAGCATTTCCGCCCCGGTACAGTTATGTTGAAGATATGGCAAATCAATTGTTGGCGGCGCGTGGGGCTGGACGCGTTGGAAAGAACTGGACGCGGAACTTCATCAAACGTACACCAGGCCTCCGGACGCGTTTTCATCGGAAGATAGACTACCAGAGGGTCTTGAACGAGGATCCAGACGCGTATCGCGCGTGGTTTTGCCAAGTTACAGCAGCAGTCGCGAAACATGGTATCCAAGACGCGGATACTTATAACTTCAACGAGACTGGGTTTATGATGGGCATTATTGGGTCTGGCATGGTCGTTACAAGCGCCGAAAGACGTGGCAGGCCTAGACAAGCTCAGCAAGGCAACAGGGAATGGTCTACAGCAATCTCTGCTGTTAATGCTGATGGTTGGGTGGTCCCGCCGTTCATCATTCTACAGGGCAAAACCCACCTCGCGTCATGGTATCGTGACACGATATTACCACGCGATTGGAAGGTGGCCGTGTCCGACAACGGGTGGACCACAAATGAGAATGGTTTGGAATGGATTCAGCATTTCAACAAGTATACCAGACCGCGTATGACTGCCGGTAAACGCCTCCTCATCCTAGATGGTCACAAAAGCCACCATTCCCAGGTCTTTGAGGATTATTGCCAGAACAACGGCATTATCACCCTTTGTATGCCTGCCCACTCGTCACACAGGCTCCAGCCTCTAGATGTCGGCTGTTTTAGCCCGCTCAAACGAGCTTACAGTCGCATGATTGAGGATCTCATCCGGCGTCATATAACCCATGTTTCGAAGGAGGACTTCCTTGCAGCGTTTTGTGAAGCACACAACGCTGCTATGACACCAGGAAACATTCGAGCAGGTTTCAGTGCCACTAGGCTTGTTCCTTTTGACCCAGAAAGTGTTATTTCAAAGCTGGATGCTGTCGCTGTCGTACAAACACCGTCGCCAGACCCCAATCTGCCACCCACTACTTGGACTTCGAAGACGCCTACCACCACTAACAAAGCGGTAAACCAATCGTTTTATATCCGAAACCGAGTCAGAAACCACTAGGGAAGCTCACCTATATCAATAATTGATGCGTTGAGCTCGTTTTCGAAGGCTATATACGGTCTTATGCATAAGGTCGCTTTGGTTGATTCCTGGGTCCGCGAATTAGAAGAGGCCAATCACCTACTAAGTAAACTCCGGAGAACAAAAAACAAACATTTAGTGAAAGGAGGAGTACTTTCCGTTGAAGATGCAGTAGATCTTCAGGCTGCAAAGGATGGTGCTGAGCTGGCAAAACAGGAAATGGGTGAAGGTAGTCGTCGTCCGAGGCGGGCAGCAGCGCGTGGGCGACGGTGTGACGTTTACAGCAATACTGGCCATAATGCGCGAACTTATACAATAGAGATAGAAACCTCTGAGAAAAAGGAATCCGATTGATTGAATTGAACTGAATGCGTTGTGGTGAAGTTATTTGACATGGCAGTTGGAGAGTTCATGACGAGTGCCAACTCGCTTGTAATGTCAACTCGCTTGTCAGCTACGTTATATAAGGTGTTTAGACAGCTTTAATTAAAAAAAGTTTTTATCATAAAAGTTAGAAGGCGTATTAAAAATATTTTAAAGGTTTTTTTAAGATATTACTTTTATTTTATTATTATTTATTATTATTATGTCAGATGTTGTATCCTAGATATGGTGCCCTTAGGTGTAGTACCCACTAGGGGGCTGTCAAGGGAACAGTGGATCCACCCTAGCATGGTGCAGTATGGTATTTAGCTGTAGATTAGCCCTGCTGAGCATACTTGAAAATGACAACAAAATTTTGCAGCGACCGCTCACACCTCCTTAGCTTGTGACCCTTCTAGAATCTCAAATATTATTATATATCCTAAAATCCTTTATATGCCGTATAAGTTCACAACATACGTTTTATACTAGCTGGTTAAGGTTTTAAAGTTGTTACTTTAAAGTGCATTTTTATAACGGCTTTATCTTTTGAATAAAACTTTTTCTTGTTTAAGTAATAATTAATTTAAGTTATTAAGGTTTAAATGTTCAAGTTAAAAGCTCGGGTTAACAGTTGCGGGTTAAAGGATCGAGAAATCCATAAATTTTTTCAACTTTATAAAAAGATAAGAATAAAAATTCGATTTAAAGAAAAAACTTACCGTCTAATGCAAGTACCACAACTGATATCTCGCAACCCTTGAAATATCTCACGAAGAAAAGGGGCCAAGGGCCAACTTACCTCACCTACCTACGAACTTACCCACTTCAGCTCATCATGACATCGAAGGCGTCGTTGAGGTCGAGGTCGACGTCCATGGAGGAGCCAGCGTCGCCGGGGCCCATGAAGGTTCCATGCAGCGCAGTTGCGCCACCGGGGGCGATGATGCCATTGTTGCTCATACCCCACGACGCGTCGGCGTCGGGAACCCCCTTGAGCCCACAGATGTTGTCATTCAGGCCGATGACGACGCCGTGGCACGCCATGCAGACGAAGGGCTTCTGCTCGCCCTCGCAGCCGCGCTCGCCCCTGAAGCGGAACGCGTCGGCGCCTTGGCGTAGCATGCACCACGGGCACACCATTTTCCCGGCGACGCGTTCGACGTAGTTCCGCATCTCGCGCACGGCGGTCTGCAGGTCGAGCAGGTCCTGCGTGCGGTGCGGCTGGCAGATGCGGCGGCCGAGGAGCTTGGTCGCGCAGAGACACCCTGTCGCCGGCAGTGGTATGCCCATGAAGCTGCCGGCCAACTCGTTGTTGGCGTTCACGGCCGCTGGCGAGCAGTGCAACTGGGGGTCGATTCCCCACACCCGCACCCCGCAGCCGTGGTAAATATCGGGCTTCATGGCGACGTCCCACCCGGCGCACTCGGAGCAGGCGTAGGCTCGAAGCTGCATTATCAAGCCGTCGAGAGTCGCACCCGTGCGGATGCGGCTGTCGGCGTCGCAGGAGTCGCAGATTGCGCACGCTCCGGGCTCGTGCCTGATATCCTCGCACGACCCCTCTGCGTTATTGCCGCAGGTCCGGCCATCAGCCCGGAATGCCGTGCATGGCCGCGGCGATAGGAAGGGGACCGGCTCGCGATAGAAGAGGACCACGTCCATAACGCCGCGGGCCTTGGGGTTGGGATGGGGAACTGGGAGGGGAGGACCCCTTACATGGAAAATAGGCTGGATAGGAGCCGGCGAGCGGGGACGTAACGGCTCCGCGGCCGCGTTGCGTATACCATCTCGCCACCCCGGGTTGAGCCAATCGACCAAGTTCTCGTCTGCGTCCGCGGGCATGTTGATGGCCAATCGCTCATGGATGGGGTTGGAAGGGGGCGGGGACTTTTCCACAAGCAACGCGTGGATCTGTTGCCAGTAAAACGAGTCGGCGGCAGGCTGCCGCGCCAACATTGCGCCGCGGAGACCTCCCCTCACCTCGCGCAGGTCCATGATGTTGTTGCCGTGCTTCGCTACTAAGAACCTGGCAGTGTCCCACGCCTTCTCGTAGTCTGCGATAAGCTTCCTGTCTGTTTCATTATTGCCCACTTCACCCTCGTTGACGAGGCTGACTCCGAGATGATCGGCTTGAGCCAGCGGCTCGCCGGCGGGTGGTGACCTGGGAGCAGCGAGGAACGACAAGTTTATATCGTCAGGTATGGAAAAGTCTGGCGTAGCGGCGTCGGGTGCTGCCATGCTGTTGAAACCTGGCTCGTAAACAGTCGAAACGAAGTCTGGAGGGCCTTGTAGAGGACCGGTGCGTACTCCCGCTGCTCGCATCTGCATGAAAGTTTCGCGGTAGTTGTCGGGCTGAAAGTAAGGCCATTGCTTGTTTTGCAAGTCGTCCACGCCCTTTGGGCCGTAGCCTAAGGAAAGGTAATACGCTCCCATGCCCGTGGAATCGGGCCCGCGAAGCCAGGAACCGCCTTCGGTAGCACCAGCTGGAGCGCACTGCTCGCAAATCTTGGTGCAGGAGTCGCAGGGACGCTGGCGATCACATGGTCTGTTGTTTTCCTTACAGTTTTTGCAATCAGCAAATTTCGCACGTGCTGTTTTCGCGGTTGGCTTGGGTTTCAGGGGCCGACCATTAACAATGCACACCGTCGCGTATTTTCTGCAGTATTCGCAGCCGGTGTCACCCGTGGCGTCGCATTGGTTTTGCCTCCTTGCGAGGAGGCTTCGGCACAAGTCGCAGCGGGGCTTGCCCGTAAGTCCAAAAGCATTCGGCCTGTTGGCTGGTATCAGTGCGCTTGTCGCTGCGCTCGTGTCCTTTCCTTTGGGGGGCGTTCCTGCCGGGCTCCGACTGCGATCCCTCGACGATCCCGCTTCTGGCCTGGGCGCGATTGTGTACTCACTCCCGGGTGTCATGTTGGCGTGTACCTCGATCATATTGCACGGACGTGGAACGGGGAGGTACTGCGTCATTGTCAAATGAGTGTGCGTTCCCTCGACGAGATTTTTCGGTTCGACGCCCGCGAAGGTACAGGACTTCTTTTTCTCAACGCAATTGCCACATGGTCCTGTCGGTTCGCCAGGCACGGCCCTCCAGCTGCATGAAAACAAGAAGAGCCCATCCGCCAAGCATTGGTCACAGCACAAGGGCTTGACTAAACCGTCCGGTCGGTCTTTGAAGAGGGTCGGGCCTCTTGTACATGGTTCGTCGCGCTTCCGGCAATTCGAACAGCCCAGTTGCTGATCCAAGTCCATGTTGCAGGTGTTATAGTGGTTCCGACCCTTCAGTCGACAGGGCTCGCACACAATTTGCGGCGGTTTAGTCATTCCTTTCATATATTTCCTAGGCGCACGCCTAATAAACGTAGAAGCCCCGTCCATAGGTGTGGGCGCGGGCGCGGCCGAACTGGGTCCAGCCGATATCTCTCCTTCGTAGGTAGAAGCCGCGGCCGCAGGTCTCAAGGAGAGCATGGCTTCAACGTCGCCGGCCACGATGGGCACAGTGAACAAGTCCGGCGCGGTCGAGCTGGGTCCAGCCGATGTCTGTCCTTCGTAGGTAAATCCCGCGTAGATGTAGGCACTGGGTCCAACGGCGCCATCGTCGGGAGCTGGCCGCATAGGGGGAGGGAGAGTCGTCTTGCACTTATTTTCGCGTGAAGGGTCCGCCCCCCTGCATTCGTCACAGGCGCCACTCGCCTTGTTGGTGCAAGAGGAGTTTATGAGGCAACAAAAATCACAGCGGTTAGCAAGCTCGGGGGCGACGAACCTTGCTCGCCATTCTAGAAGGTCGTTGTCGCGCTCCGTGATATCATCCAGTAACCAATAGATGGCGAGGTCCAAGTAGTACTTCTCAGGGTTTTCGGGGTTGAGAAAGTCGGGAAAAATTGTCGATGAATTACTCATCTTGCCTGACAGGATCGCGAAAGAGAGTTAGTAGTTGTAAAGGTGACGAGTAAGCAAGTCCAATCAAAACTCCAAGGCGAAGTACGCAGACGATTCGTAATAGATTGCCCGAGGAGTTTTTGACGAAGTTGTGAAGGGTTCTGAGTAAGTTCCTGCCTTTCTCAGTCTGAGGTGATGTTGTACGTTTGATGTTGAACACTTTCTCTCTTGGGAAGAAGCAAGTGACAGTATAAATACCAAGGGAACGCTCGTAGAATGCCGTTGTGTGTCGTTCAGACAAAGAACTGTTGGCCAGAAGAAAGAGCGCCAGCGAGGGTGGCGGACAAGGCCATCACCAGCCGCTGGGACAATGAGCCACTTGTCAAGGCGGAAGCCGATAAGCGTCCGCTTTGTCGAGACAAGGTACCAAACGAAATACGACAAGAGGGTTGCTGGTGGCCATTGTCTGATAACCCGTACAGAATTCTGCGTTCTGCGAAGACTTCAAAATGGTCTGGATCGCTCAGAGACGGCTGGGCGGCATAGCTGCTGCGATTTCGTCCCCCGAGCTACAAAGGTTCAGCCCTTAGTATAGCCGCAATATGGTCCGGAGAGGTGAATGCAAGGCCCACCATGATATGATACTCGGGAAGCTCTCAGCAGCACCATGGTGGACTTGTCGCAGGCCAAGGGGGCCATCACCTTCCAACATCAGTCTTGACCTGCGACCGTTGCAGAATCGTGAAACAAAAATACCTAAGGTTCGAGGCAACGGGAGCGGAAGGAAAGGCAGCAGACCAGACACCCGGACCATAGCCTAAATCATCCATGCGTCTGGCACTGTGGTGTCCATGTCCAAGCAATACTGTCGGAAGGTGCAACGCACGGCACTTGGTATCCAATGTATCAACGTCTCCGCAGGCTGGAGATCTCTAGGTAGTTCTCCAGCATCCTTGCCACAGCCAATTGATTCAATACAGCTATGGGTAAGGTAGAGTATTGTCAGCTTCGTATCCAGGAGCGGGATGCTAGGGATTGACTCACATTTTCCATGGAGAGACGACCCAGACGACCCAGACGACCCAGACGACCCAGACTGCAGCACCAGCTTCAACCACGTAATCTCGAGACCATCGAGGCCATCAGATGCATGGCCCCTCGTGGTTCATCAGTCGACGTTCGTGTCCCGTGGTTGGAAGCGTATGATATTATCGAGTGGTTAGTTGCCAACACCATCTTGAGTTGTGGGTATCAAGTCACACCAGTCAGAGTATCCATAGTTACCGCTATTACACCGAGGCCCCTTGCTCATGTAAGAGCGGCGAGATCTGAGTTGAGAAATTGATTTCAGCTCGCAAAACCACCCATGATCTTTGCAAAGACGAATCTATGATAGTGACCACTAGAGAAAGGCAAGACAAATAAGTTAAAAAAAAAAACATTACATGGTGGGAAAGGACCGACTGGAAAATCAATAACCATATTCTGGTCTTGGATATGACGGCCCTAGCACTCCCAGCAGCAAGGCATTCTGTCACCTTGATGATGGACCCATCAGCTGCCTGTGACATCTTTGACGTTCTCTTCCAACGTCGAAAGAGCACGACTATTTAGATACCGTGTATCTCCTGTTCCAAATGCTGCTGGTTGCTGGTTCCATAATGGACGCTAGGAAAGAACCCCTCGACTCCCGATCCCAATGCAGTTGAACCCTGGCTTGACCAGTATTATACGTCTTGAAAAGCCGCCAAAGTCGATCGCACCATGCGCCAGTTTTGGAGGTGATTCGACATACATACTTCCACTCGAACAGATATTTCGCGGCGGTTGATGTGTTTCCAAATCCTAGAGGACCAGTTAAGATCATAGGATAACGCATTTGGAGCAGCAGCCCGCTTGTGGCTCTCCGTCATCGATACCCATCTCTTTGTTTCCAGTCAATGGACCTGTTCCACCACGCGATGTCCGGCCTCCCAGTTTGCGATCGTATTCTCGAATCTCACGCACAACCTCAAAGAAAGCATCTTCGACATGGATGCGAGACTTTGCCGAAGTCTCAATATACGGACACTGGAACTCGGCAGCACTCTTTTCAGCCTCTGCGAATGTGTCAGTCTGCGGTCATGTCTGCTCTGAACTGTGTGGGCATCCTTACTCTCCCTCGTGACGACGCGCTCATGCTCGAGATCGCACTTGTTGCCAACCAGAACGACGGGGAAGTGCTCGCCATCTTGCTTTCCCTTGACTCTCAGAATGAGTCTGTGCAGGTCGTGAATCTCGTCCAGACTTTCTTGTGAAGTTAAAGAGAAAACAAGCATGAATCCTTCGCCGTTGACCATGTATTGCTCTCGCATAGCAGCATATTCCTCCTGGCCGGCGGTATCAAGGACGTCGAGAAGGGCGAGCTCATCATCGATGACACATTGCTTGCGGTAAGAGTCTGGGGAAAGGAGAGAAACAGGTCAGCCTTCTAGCCAGCGCATTCAGCAACCAGAGGGAGGGGCCATAACTGCCGACATACCTTCAATTGTAGGATCGTACTCGTCGATGAAGTGGTCTTGTGTCATCTGAATAGTCAAGCAAGATTTACCGACGCCACCGCCACCAACAACCACCACCTTGTACTCTCGTAGAAACTATGACAAGAATGCCGTGAGCGACAGCTACAGATGCAGAGTTGGGGCATCGGTCGGTTATGCAAGCGCAGGATGAACATGGACAGCAGGCAGACGTACCTTTGACGCCATTGTGGGTGTCGGGAAGAGGATGGCGACCCGCGAATGTGTCGGGAATGCGCACGAGGCTTTTGTCCGGCAGGGCGTATGCGGTCGATGTTACGGTCGTCAGAGGAAAGGTGCAGCGCGCGACTGCAGACCGGAAAGAGTGTTTCTTTGTTGTTATCGCGGACCACAAGAATCAATGGGGTTCAATATTGAGGGTCGGCAGACGGGCGGTTGGGGAGGGATTGGATGGTCGGATGGTTGCGCGGCGACTCGTTCACTAGAAAGAATAAAGAACCAATAAAGGGAGTTGCCGTACAGCAGAGCGGTAGACTCTAGTAGAGGGCCGCAAACTGACAATGGCAGGACGAAACGACGAAACGGACTGAGAGATGGAGAATGAGGGATGGAGAAAGGCGAATGGATGGATGCCTGAGGTGGCCGAGCGAAGGTAGAGTCTAGAGAAAGGGCGAGAATGGATGGGTGCAGGTGGTGGTGGTCCCGGCCTTTGATGCAGTCCAAGTCCAGTAGCAGGAGCACCCAGACAAGCAGAATCCCGGTGGTGGGTGACTTGGATAATTAGGTTCGAGATGTACCTCTGGTTAGAATGTAGCACAGATTCCGTGTGGATACTAACAGCAGTCTCCTCCATGTCTCCTCATCCTGTCATCCTGGGACGCGACTGTTCATGGCCGCTAATGCGAGCCCGGTACCAAAGCGCCCACTAGCCCACCCCCCTCTGCCCCTTTCCATGCTAGCGCCCATCTTCTGTGCATATGTCGGGGCCCATTTCTCGATTCGGTGCCATGTCAGGAGATGGAGGGAAGGTTTGAAGAATTGGGGTCACACTCATTGTCACCACTGCCTGAAGGGTGCATGTGGTTAGATTCAATACCACCTGCACCCATACATACAACTGTCCCAGGGGTGTGCCTATCGTAGGACCCTGCCATATATCTCAATTCAAGATTATAAACTTCCCCTCTGAACTTCTGGCTTCAAGAGACCCAACTGCATTGTTAATTCGTTTACATGCATCGGTGCCGGATGCATGCATACATGAGCATGTGTGTGTCTTGAAAGTCAACAAGCATGGGTCGAAGCTATTGACTCCCCACCTGTATCCACTAACCTTAAAATCACTTTACAGGCCGACAGGGCAAAGCTTGAGCTGCATCATGTCGGCCACGGTCAAGCCTCCAAGCCGGGGACCAGCCGAACAAGCAAAAGAGTAGGTCAACTGCAGATGGACAAATGCTCAGGCAAAAAGACCAACATTAGACATGCATACACGCATCTGCATCCAACAACGTGCGGCCGGCCGCCCCTCGAGCGAGAGGAAGCCAAGACACATGCTTACACACCGAGATGAAGTTATGAACACACACGTCAACCCGGGAGATGGCGCTGGGCTATCTTAATTCTTGAGAGCCCCCTATTAAGATGAACCCCACCATGTCCTGGAAACATTTTATTCTAGAACGTTGAACCTCATAGCAAAAGCCAGATTGGAATTGCACTGGTGCTGTGTCTTCTTTAATTGTTTTGTATGTCCTGCGGCTTGCGGCTTGATTTATGTCACCCATCTATCATGTTTTTTGCAAGCGGCTTTCTTCCATTCTTCATCGGTATGGGCGGGTCTCCCAACTCTCAACCACACTCCACTATGGAGGGTCCCTACCTGTCAAATCTGATGCGACGGTAATTTGGCAGTGAAGACCTAGGAGGCAATTATGTATAAAACCTGCGCTTGGGTGTTCGAGATGAGCCTCATTTCCTTTGGCATTCCATGGCCCTGTTACCTAGTCGGAATTTTCTCTTCCTGTTCTATGCACGGCAAGACTCCGTCTCAGATGCCAACCCGGGCAGACGATAGCTACGGTGCGGAAAGTCGTTTTTGACTTCAGCCTAAGAACCTCACCTTTTGAACCAATAGTAAAGTATTCGTAGTTGATATCTCGTTGGAGGCTTTACAAATGATCGCTGCTATCTATATCGCGACCTCAAAGACACAAGCAAGTAGCGGAAGATCTCTAATCGAATCAGGGGCATCCTCCTCTACTTCATCGGACCTCATAGATCCTCATAGCCCTCAGATGACTTCTGTTCATCAGCTGTCTCGCCCTCGCATGCAACTGGCTGCAATAACACAGTCTAATAAGCACAGGAGAAATCGTTGCAAGCAAAGCCCCTAGCCACCATCTCCAATCGTCCCGATTCCCAAAAGGTGGCGGCGATTGAACCTGCCGAGGCAACATTTCGCTCTCCGAATTCACAAGCCCACGCACACAAGTCAACCACTATGCCGCCAGATCCTCAGGCTCGCTATCCTCTCCCTCAGCATGAACGCGCTTTCCCTCGACGTTCGCCACCACCTCCGGCACGAGGCTCTCGAGGTACGCCACGTCGCGTCCGACAAGAGTGACCGTGTTATTCTGCTTCCCCCACCGGGGATAGCTTCCGACCTTGACTCCCTTGGGCCCGACCTTCGCGGCCAGCTCCGTGAGGTATCCGGCCACCGCACTCTCGGCCATCGGCGTGGAGATGATAACTCTACAGATACCTTTGCCCTTGGGGTCGACCAGCCGGTCCACGATGAATGGTTTGAGACCCTCTAGGAGTCCTTCAACTACGTCCGTTTAGTCCCCCTGCAGCGGTAGTGGTTCATCATGGAGGGAGGCTTACATAATCTTGGCACACCCGGAAGGATATGAATGTTTCCGTTCACCACGGATACCGGAACCCACAGGTCATCCCGAGGAAACAGAGCCTGTTTAGCCAGATCGCGAGACTCGTCAATGGGAAGCTGGGCCATCCGTAGACGTGCTGTCTTGGCGGGCGACTCAACGTCCCAGCTGAAATTCGGATGTGACTTGTGAGGCTTGGTCAGCTTCTTCATGCGCTTATAAGCCTCGTCGTGTAGCACAAGCTTCAGCCCGAACGCCTTTGCGATGGATTGGTAGGTGATGTCATCATGTCTGTTTCAGCCTTCAGGTCAGCTTTTAACGGGATCAGGCAGGGGGGTCGGAGGATGATATATATGCTTACGTCGGTCCTATTCCTCCACTGTGTGGGTTGCATTAGTGATGCCGTTCGACATTCCTGCATTCCTGCATTGCTCAGCCATACCTGGTAACGACGAAGTCGTAGCGATCGCTCATCCTTCGGACAGCCTCCACGATCTCGTCTTCATCGTCTTCTATGACCTCAACTCTCTTCAGGTTCTAAAAAGGGTGCGTAAGCTCGCCTGATGAACGGCAAGTCATCGAGTAGGACCTCTCACCATGCCGAGGGAGAAACACCACTTTGCCATGAATGCCGAATTCGTCTACGCCCTGAGTCAGCACCGAAGACCCCCAAAAGATTCCGCAGATGCATCCCCATGAAACTGTACATCTGTAGTCTGCAGAAGTTGTCAGCACAAGACATGATTCACAGCACCCCAAGGAGGTCAATAGTCTACCTTGCCCCCAAGAACCTCATCGCCAATAATTAGGCATGCCGCCGTATGGATGGTCCGCGCATTGCGCTGATCCGCCGAAGCCATGATCCTCGACGCCATCCCACTGGATCTGGAGCTCGCTGCTGCCGCCGCAGAGGTGTGGCCGAGATTGGGTAGCGGTTTGGACAGGTGGCGAGCGAGCTGCGAGATTCGGGAGATCATAGATCTTGCTGTCCTCTTATGTGTTCCTATATATCGACTATGTCCCAATCAGGCGAGAGGAGAGGAGGATGTTTTTGTAGAGAAGAGGCAGGGCTTGTCGATGAAGGCTAAGAAGCTGCCCGTCTGTCTGCATGTCGGCGTGCTCGATGAATGGCTGTGATGAGGTGACGTAGACCACCGGCTTTAGCCCGGCTGCTGGTGGGGGCACTTTTGAGGTCCCCGACTCCCCGCCCCGAAGCATAGGCGGGCCGCGCCTTCCTTACAAGTTACCAGTTCTCAAGGTCCTATGGCCCCTATTGAGCCCTCTTTCGCGTATTAATATATATCAGTCGACTTCAAACAATTCGGTTAACGGTTTCCCTGGTGTCTGAAACTGCTTCGCGGTTTTCTAGTGTGTCGCCAGGATAGGAGCAAGCCTGCTTGTTCTTCGACAACAACACCCAGATAGTTTGCTACTCCTCCCCAAGCGCTTGTTTAGGGTCTCCGCGCCGGCCATGACAGGGTCGGCCACACTGGTATTCATCGAACCCCGACTAGACGGGTGTTGGACGGGTGCGAAATGGCTATTTGACAAGATTAGTAACATCTCACATGTCGAAGTTGGTAACCATTAAGAAGCGTGACCGCAACGGCCGAGTGAAACTTGTGTACTGCAGCAGCGAGCATGCTGAAACTGCTCTTGTATGTCTCCTTCTCTTATGTTGAAGTTACTCCCCCTCCTATATAGACAATGTGCTACTCGGCGCTTCGCCGTATCTCATCTTGCCCAACCCTGCCTTCTCCTGGGTGGCTCCATGACGGTGGTCTACCGTCCCTGTTCTGTCTCTAGAATGCGTCTAGGATGCCATCGAGGTGACCGTTGAGGTTCTCTCATCATCACCTTATTCAAGCAGCCATGCAAAGGAAAAAGAAAATGCTCCTTCAGTTCTCCGTCGTTCCTGGGGTATCGTTGAGATATGATGCAGCCCTGCAAGCCAGTCCCTTTTCCAGGATTCTTTCCGAAGCCCTTAGCCCACCATTCCGATGCTTTTGTTGAAAAGTGTGTGGACTCCGGCTCCAAACTCCTGTACTAAACGCTTGTTGAAACAATTGCTCCTCTTGGCCTGCTACTAGGCCCTATGCTTGTTGAAAAATCCAATTGCGCCGGCATGAATCGTCATCATTATCACGCAGAAGCTGCGACGCCATTCCCATTGTTGGTGGGGACGCCGTTCGTCACCTTGACTGCTTCATTGACCTGCGACTCCGGAACCTGAGCTGGAACAGACACAGGCACGTCAAGGTCCTTGACAGCTAGCCCATCGAAGAGTTCGAAAATCGTCTTGGGTTGGTGAAAATCGTTATTCACTGTAGCTTCATGTTAGCGGTAAACCATGCCTAGAGCTGGCTGCGGTGGACATACCAATATTAACCAAGTACCAATCGTTCATCATCTTCTCGATTAGAACCCGACTTGGGGTATTGGCATCGTGACAGTGAGCCCAGTCCATGCCTAGCCGGAACGCTTCGTCTTTCCAGGCCAAGAAGCTGATGCTCTCCACAATGGTGGGTTGGACGATTTCTTTGCCCGGGAAGACACCCCATGTGACAGCATTGGGCCCCTCCGACGGTGCATTTGACTTGTAGGTGCCCGATCGGGTGACGGCATAGTAAGAGAGGTCCGGGTGAGCATGGATCCGTGGCAGGATCTCCTCAAATAGTTCCGGCGCCACCAGCAATTCCAAGTAAGACTTTTGGTAGACATATCCATGAGGGGGTCCCCATCCGTGCACGGGATGTGTCGACTTGACACCGTTGACCGCGGGCTGGGAGTTGACAGTCAACAAGCCCCGTTGGTTGAGTTTGATGAGGTCTTCTTTGATGGAATCGGCTTCACTTGTGAGAGGTGCCTCACTCCAGGGCAACGACTCCAGGTCCTTCTCCAGGTATCGAACAAACAGGTTGGCGATATCCTTGACGGTCTGGGGCTCGCCCCATTTCTCCCGGTTGGACTCGTTCGTGCCTGTCAGGCCTATGCCATATGCGTCCAGTTCACCGAAAGCAGGCGAGCGCGAGTCGCCCCATCTGCCGTTCGGAAATTCATCCCAGTCCTGTGTTCTCGAGATGTAAGACTTGCCCCGATTTCGCCAAAAAATTGGCCGAACATCTTCCTCCCGTCGCCCGAATCCGAGCGACTGCTTCCATGGCAAAGCTTGGGTGCGTGGTCGTGTCGTAGTAGGCATCCAATCCAGCTCCTCCAGTACCATACGGGTAGCTTGAGCGAGATTCATGGTGTAGAAATGGAGGTGGACGATGCCAGCCGACATGATCTTCCGACACAGCTGCGCGACCAGAGTCTTGCCAGCTTCTCGAACGGCCGAATCATTGTTCTTGATGGGTTCCAAGGTAGCCATCCAATCATCGGGAACTCTGCAGTTCATGTGGGAGGCGCGTCGCATGAAACTGGCATAGGTTGCGATGGGCATGATTCCTGGTACGATGGGCACCCTAATGCCCCTTTCCCGCACTTTCCCTACCCATCGTACGAAGTTGTCGGCGTCGTAGAACATCTGGGTCACAATAAAGGTGCCGCCCATGTCAACCTTTTCCTTTAGATGGTCCAGGAGCAACTCTTCGTCCTTGTTGTCGTCGCAGCCTTCGGGGTATCCAGCAACACCAATGTCGAAATGGTTTCCGTACAACTTTCGGATGTGGGCCACCAGGTCCCTCGCATATTGGAACCCGCCTTCTGTGGCTTCCCACTTCTCCTTCTCTCTAGGGGGATCTCCTCGAAGCGCAAGGATGTTGGTGCAGCCGGCCTTGTAGGCCTTCTGCAGTGCTTCGTTGACCTTGGCCTCGCCCATATCGGTGCAGGTCAGGTGCATGCAAGTCTCCAGGCCAAAGAAGGTCTGGGCTTGTAAGACCATGTCGCAGGTCAGCTCGGCAATGCGGCCACCAGCTCCCCAAGTTATGTCAATGAACTTGGGGCCGAAGTCGTACATGCGCTCCATGCGGTCGTATAAGTTTTGTACGCCCTGGGCGGTCTTCGGGGGGAAGAATTCGAAGGAGAAGGACGGTTGACCGGTCCTTTCCGCGTCGGCGATCATCTCGTTGATATGCATGTTGGCGGTGTTGGCAGGGCCAGGACAAACGTATGGGATAGGGTCGGGGTAGACAGGAAAAGGCAAGGCAAATGAGAACTACTAAAGAGTCAGTAACAGTAGCAAAAAGCGATCAACCCGTCCGGCTGCGAGCACGCAAGACGAGCCACCAAGCCAGCCATTGAAGCGCGGTGGCATTGCGGCATTGCACTCCCCCACGCAGCACAGCATCGCATCTGCGGAAAGCGACCCTATTCGGAGCGGGAGGATTCTCTCACCTAGCAATTTAGTGCGTCGAACTCATCAGGACTCTCTTGAGGCGAGTGGTCCTTCTAGGAGCATGTAATATGCTACCAGAGAACGGTCCGTTGATCTCCCCTCCGTCCAGCTCACACTCCCGTAAGAATTTTAAGAAGATTGGGGAGGGAGGAAGAAGATGGAAATTCTGCTGCAGTCATCAGCGACTGATCCGCGACTTAAAGTTAGGGTCCACGGGTAGGGCACCCACTATCCACAGCTCCGACTTAGGAGGTAATCTGATTGGTTCCGGTCTGTGAGTGTAACGGCTTTGAACCGTTAGGTCTACGCACTGTTAGTAGCGTTCTTGCCCATTGTATACGCCACAGTACTATCAATTAAGTAGTTGGACTGCAAATCGATCTGGAATCACCTACATAATCGTGAGATGTGTACTCGAACTGTACTGTAAGTCACTGTATCCATCTGGTGTCACTCGGCTTGGACCGTTGAATGAATATGGTATCGCAGTGACTGCTGCTACAAGGTGTGCAGGTCTGTACCCCTCCATTTCCGTTTTGGACGGTTTGTGACCAGGTACATGAAAATCCCCCGCACACCTCACCGCCTTACCCCACGTCCATGCAGGGATGTTAAAGGGGCAGGGTTTGGAGGTTTGAAAGCCAGGTACACAGTTCATGCTCTCGCTTGGCACTGTCCATCTCACAACTCAGGGGTGGTAGCAGCGATAGTCAAGCAACTAAATTGCACGGTTAAGTCGGGCCTGCCAGGGGAGGCCTTTGTGCCATGGTCTATTGAGACGAGTGCTTCCATCACGCCGGAACTCCTTCACCGGCCTTTTCACTCTTCCTGTCCCGATACATCGTAGCAATATCTGCTGGCTTTGCTAGGTACCAAAGTCTGGCCATTCATTCAGGAACCGCCTCGGGATGCCGAGATGCCACGTTGCCTTCAGTCGTGGAGTGGCTGTTCCTCGTCTACAACGGCATCTCAGAAAGGTGGAAACGGAATGGGCAATGATGGATAAAGTCTCCGGGCCGTACCTCGTCTTGACTACTCGTGCCCCGCACCATTTCCACCTCGCTGGGGCTCACCACATAAAGTGGTGCTCCCTAGGGTAAGGGACCAACCACTATAAGGGACCATATTTATAAAAACTTTTTAATTATACGGTTTTAAAACATTAAATGTTGAAAAGATATGATTGAAGCTTATAACTTTTTATATTATAGTGAATGATTTTTAGTCAATCTTAAAAATCGTTATCAAAGCGTATATAGTTAATTAAAGTAGATTATTAAGAAAGTAACTTTAACATATTAATTCTTTCTAAAATCGAGAAGATTAAGTTAACTTTTTTTTAAAACGTATTAGTTTTCTTCTATTTATACTATACAATGATTGATTGATTGATTGTATTTAACGTGGGGGATCGCTCCTCAGTAGTGCAAACCACGCCTCTTAGAGCCTCTGCATCGCAGGGTTATAGAGGTATCAAGATAATAAGTACAGTCAGTCCCGCTCACAAGCCCATCCCTGTTGTTGCGGCTGTATGACTTTGGGGTCATCTATCTGGTCCTTTAAGAATAGCTATCTATCGGTGGCAGATTGATAAAAAGAATTTGCTCTTCTTCACAAATTTTGCCCATTCTGTGCTCCTCTCCCCTAAGTATTGTAAACAAGCTATCTTAGGCGAGTACCTGGGCAGCAGCCGATTGTTCCCCAGCCTCTTAGAAAAGAAAATGTGTTGTAGTGTTTTCTTTTCACCACAGCTGCAATGATCATTCGAGTCTGTATGCCTAAAGCGTTCATGGTATCTGGCAAAGTCGCCATGTCCAGATCTGGCCACTAGAAGTCTGTGTAAAGTACTCCTCTTAAAAGATATAAGGTCCCTTTTAGTTACTGCATATGAGTATACTTTTTGATACCTAGGTTCTGATTGGTCTTTTTATTATTGATTGAACTCTTTTTTGTCTTTTCTTTTGAGATCTCTCTTGACCCAAGAGATTGTAGGAAGGTTTGTCGTGTCTGTGTTAGCATGGCACCCTCTTTTGTTAGTGTGTTGGCAGCTTTGTTGCCATCAATATCTCTGTGTCTAGGAATCCACTTAACGGTCACTCAAGGAGTGTGTGCTGTAGCAAGTCCTTGAAATTGTAGAAAAATGTTCTGTGATGTCTCGGGTGGAGTCTCATTTAGCCCATCTACCACTGACGTGTTGTCCAGGCAGACATATAGCCGTTTTCCGCATCCAAGTGCCCTGGCTGCTGCGAGACCTTGGAGAGAGCCATGGACTTCAGCATCTATTATTTCTGCTGGAAAAAGTCTGTCTTTTCCCTGGTATACTTCTTGTATGGTGCCGCCTTTCCTAATGGTATAACCCCATCCAGTGCGGGTTGTACCTTGGTCGTCTAACTGTGATCTATCCGAGTAGATGACAAGGTTAGTGTTCACATTTTTCTCTTGTAGCCATTGCTTGAAGAGCTCTATTTTTTTGTTTTTGTCTTTATGAATTGGGGGCTTTTTCTATGATGACTTGATGAGTATTGGTATCTAGAAGTCAGGGACTAGCTGGAAGCTCCTTTGTAGCCTTGTTGGTTCCTTACAAGCTTTAATTTAAAGCCTGCCAACAAGAGGGTGTCTCTGGTCTATTTGTCCTAGTCAGAGGCCGTGACGTCGTTTTATTAACTCTGCAAGAACTCCTGCTGGGGAATCTGTGATTCAAAGTATAGGATATGTCCAGGGTGTGTTTTCCAGACTGATAAGATAGCCCTGATTGCCGTTTGTAGTACGGTATCTATTGTTCCAAGAAGCCCCTTAATGCGACATGCTAATGTCCCACCTAAGCTCCCAACTTTCTCGATTCCTGGGTACCAGGCCTCCAGGCCGTGTGTAAGAATAGGAATAACACAAGCTTTTATAGCCTTCTTGGTTGACTTTACTGGAAGTCCTTTGACTGTGTTGCATAGTCCTTAAAGATGATTTGCTACCTTATTAGCTTTCTTAGCCCAGTAAGAAATGTGATCTTTGAAGTTTAGTTTTTTATTAAGGAGGACACCCAGCCATCGCATGGAGTTCTTTGCTGTTCTGTTTATTGTCCTGTGGCGGACTGGAGGATTATCTGAGTTTTTTTCCCGTGAGAAGTGCATGATCTCGGTTTTGTCAGGGTCAAACTTAATAGCATTATTGTGTCCCTATTGGTTGAATAAATGAAGGTTTTCAGAAGCCTCTGTAGCTGTTTCCTCAAGGTTCTTTCCAATACAGAGAGTCGCTAGGTCGTCTACATATCCAAAGTGTCTCCTTTTTATACCGAGTCGGGCACAGATTGGCTCTATATACAGCATATAAAGGATTGGAGAGGCTGGTGAGCCTTATGGTAGCCCACAAATGAGAGCTTTAATATCGGTCACAATACCTTCAAATCAAACCCTTGCGGACCGCTCGGACATGAATGACTGGACCGATCTTATAAGAAAGCCCGGCCAGCCCTGTTCTCTCATACGACCCACCAGCCGTCCCATTAAGGCAGCATCAAAGACCCCTTTCACATCTGACGTGACTACTGTTGCAACAAGGCCTTGGTCGAGGGCCTGCTCAACATCGTGTATGAGTGCAGCTACCAGGTCAGTGGCAGAGCGCTTTGGTAGAGCTCCAAAATGTTGTGGAGCTAGAATTCCAAGTTTGATGACAAACCAGGCAATTCTTTTTGCAATGAGTCGTTCTAGGCCTTTGCCAAGACATGATAATAGCGATATTGGTCTGTAGGCCCTGGGGTTAGAGTAGTCTTTTTTGCCTGGCTTTGGGATCATCACCACCTCAGCTACTTTGAATGGTTTAGGGTGGTGTCCAATCTGTAGACAGGTCTGGAAAAGGGCTCTGATATGCTCCCTAATGACTGGCCAGCAAGCTTTCAGAATCCGTACTGTGAGGGTGTCTACTCCTGGGGAGTTGCTCTTGGTCCCTATAGTGCACCCTTCAGCCTCTTCCAGTCCGACATGGTATTCAAGGGGGATGTGTGGCTTGGCTTGTGTGATCTGAGCAGACCAGGGGTCGATAATATCGTTTTCTGGGGTACTTTGTTCAAGCGTGGCTAAGCGTAGTGTATTTGCCTTGCTCTCTTGTGACTCAAAGATTTGGTCCCCTATGATGATTGGGGGAGAACGCAATCCTGTTGACAGCTTGTGCCAAGAAATGATTCTATACAGATTCTTTGGTTCAGTCACTGAATCAATTAGAGTCTACCAGTACTCTCTCTTAGCTTTCTGAACCACGCAGCAAAAGTCTCGTCGGGCTGAATTCCGCCTTTTTTGGCTTGCGGTCTGTCTGGACAAGGCCCTGTATGTTTGAACAGCTGCTTTGCATTCATCATTCCACTAAGCAGTGAGCCTAGATTGTCGGGGCTTCTTGCCCACTGTTCCGACACAGCCTTGGATTATGTTGATCAAGTTCTGCGTAAACGTATCTACCTGGCCAGGGGATGCACCCAGCCAGCGGAGCTCATGAATCCTATTTTGGACATTGTCTACCAACTCTTGTAGTTTATTGTCTGGGACTATCCATTAATTACTCTTAGGGACCCAGTCCAGGTCTCCCTGAATTGGGACAACTATTCGTAATGTCTTATAATCTGAAGTGCACTGGAGTGCATCATTCACTGAGGCTTTGGCCATAGGGACATCTGAGAAAACCAGATCTAGTACATTTCTGTTATCATGTGTCGGGACATCTGGTTCAGAAATCAGATCCAGTCCGTGGTCTGTCATAGT